AGTGAGTGAGTGAGTGTGTGTGTGTGAGTGAGTGAGTGAGTGAGTGAGTGAGTGAGTGAGTGAGTGAGTGAGTGAGTGAGTGAGTGAGTGAGTGAGTGAGTGAGTGAGTGAGTGAGTGAGTGAGTGAGTGAGTGAGTGAGTGAGTGAGTGAGTGAGTGAGTGAGTGAGTGAGTGAGTGAGTGAGTGAGTGAGTGAGTGAGTGAGTGAGTGAGTGAGTGAGTGAGTGAGTGAGTGAGTGAGTGAGTGAGTGAGTGAGTGAGTGAGTGAGTGAGTGAATGAGTGATTGAGTGATTGAGTGAGTGTGAGCGTGAGTGTGTGTGTGTCTGTGTACCTCAAGCATGTGGCACTTGCTCTTGAAGCGATCGCAGAGCTTCTGGTAGTTGTGCAGAACTTCAGTGAGCTCAGGGCTCAGGTCAGGACCACCAGGGGGTGTCTTTCCAAACAGCACATTAATGCTGTCCTTTAAAATCTTCACACGCACTTCCTTCTGCAACACATCGTCTTTAGCCCTCTGAAACACATACAGAGAAGACATTTATGAAAAAAGTCTTGAAGAGAGAAAGAATATAGAATTAAATAATACCTGTTCCATAAGGGTCAGGCACAAGGAGGGAAGTTATCATGAAAAACAAAATATGACTTTGGCACAAAAACTTGACTAACATTGTCAGGGCTTCAGAGAAAAAATGTAAATTATTAAAATAATATGGATTAAAAAAAAAAAAAAAAAGACTGTTTGGCACTCACAACCTGCTCAAAATTAGTTTTAATCAAACAAACGTACAACTTTACATTAACTTTCACTAATCAATGATTAATAAACATTATATAATGCTTAAAAGATCAATTGTTTAATTTATAATCAAAAGTAAACATGAAAACAGCAGTCATATTGTATCGGTACCAAAACTATTAAAAATCATATTCGTTAATAAAAAATAATGCTGAAATAAATTAAAACATTTTATATGGAAAACATGAACATTAGAAATGCTGCCTTTGCAACGAACTGAAATAAAATGAGTTGAAGTACTAAAATTACTAAAATTAAATCTAAATAGAAATATAAAAACAAAATAACAATGGCAAAGCATATAAACAACATTACTAAAACTTAAATTAAAATTAAAAAACTAAAAAATGATAATTAAATTAAACACTATTATAGTATATAAATACTAAAATAGCATTGGGAAATACATTAAGTATAAATGCACATGAATAAACATTATAATATGTAATGCATAAAATAATTAGCTAATGTTAATAGTGAAAGTTATCATCAATCTGTTATGACATTTCAACCTATTTCTCCAGACCTTCATCTCCTGCAGCGCCTCCTCCAGCTCCTCTGGGCTCTTGTACTCAAAGTCTCTCATGAGAAACTCCTCGTCCACTTGAATCATCCACTCGCGCATCTCCGCTACATCTTTCTTCAGATTCGTCATTTTCTCCTGACCTTCACTCACACGCTCCTCACGCCTCAACAACTGCAATCAAGATCGACCACGTTTATACTGACATCAACGCAACGAGACTTATCCCAGAAGAGCATGTTCCTGAATCAAGCAGGGTTGGGAAGTGGTTTCTACTTGAATAAAGCACCTCTAAAGTACGAGTTCTGCCCTTGCTGTGCAGCTACTTGATGGTAAGGCCATTACATTCAGTGTTCAGCAGCACCACTAGATGTTATCTTTCGCACCTCTTTACTGAGCGTGTCCCAGCGTCTCTGACTGTCGTCCAGCTCCGTCTGCCCCCAGCTGATCAGACCCAGTACTGAGCTCTGCTGCACGGCCGTCACGTTCTCCCTCATCTGCTTCAGAGACGAGTCCACGCTCTGCATCTCACTCACCAGCTCCTGCACAGACAGCGCGGAAAGCTTTGGCGTTGCTGAGGAAATTTCTCAACCATCAACTTCAGCTGATTTCTCAACCAGTTAGTAAACCAGCTCAACAAGTCCACGGTGGTTTACCAGGACAACCTGGGTCCTGCGGATAAACCAACTAAACCAGTGTCAAACAGCTAGAAACTATGTAAAACTAGCATCATTACGGACCCGATATACTTCAAGTGAAATCAACTAGAACAAACTAGTGTGTTATTTCGATCGAAGTTCATCTGGAGTTTGTTTCGGTCCATCAGACGCACGTGAGTAAAAGCATAAACACTGCAGAGCTGCTTTATAGTGGAACTGAACTGTAATTTTAACTGAAAGCTGCACTGACACTGCTTATTCAAGTTTAATACTGTAAAGCACCCTTGCTTAAAGGGACAGTTCACCCAAAAATGAAAATTACCACATAATTTACTCACCCTAGGTGTATATGACTTTCTTCTTTCAGACGAATTCAATCGGAGTTATATTAAAAAATGTCCTGGCTCTTCCAAGCTTTATAATGGCAGTGAATGGGTGTTATTTTTCAATAGTCCAAAAGGAGTCCAATAAAGCGCATCCATCCATAATAAAAAGTGTTCCACATGGAAAAATGTCGGAGGATTTCAATAAAAGGACTGGTTTTCCTTTGCTCCTGTAAACAAACGTTGGTTCTTGCGAAACTATCATATTCTCATCGGAGCTTACGCTATGCCTACGTGAATGAACGCGCGTACAACAGTTAGCAGAAGCTAGAGATTACGGTTTATAAAGTTTTAAATATGGATATTTTTCTTACAAAAATGCATTGATTCGCTACAGGAGGCCTTTATTCACCCCCAGAGCTGTGTGAGGCACTTTTTATGATGGATGGATGCGCTTTATTGGACTTCTTTTGGACTATTGCAAAGAAACACCCATTCACTGCCATTATAAAGCTTGGAAGAGCAGGACAATTTTTGATATAGGCCTAACTCCGATTAGATTAGCCTGAAAGAAGAAAGTCATATACACCTAGGATGCCTTGAGGGTGAGTAAATTATGAGGTAATTTTCATTTTTGGGTGAACTTTCCCTTTAAAAGCAATCTATTGTATAAAGTGGAGTTTCAAATCGCAGCGCTCATGCAAGCATATCCACATCACTATGATCAGATGCTTAAAGGCATAGTTCACCCAAAAATGAAAATTTGCTGTTAATTTACTCACCCTCAGGCCATCCAAGAGTCAAGAGGCATTTATTTGTCATTTGCACAGATACGCTGGGAAACCGGGCATTGAAATGCTCGTGACGAGGCTCAGATTTACAGTCATTTTAACAGGACTATACACACAGATAGTAAACATGACCATATACAGTACAATTAGGCACAGACAGGTGGAGGGCTTTGGTATATCAAAATGATGTGCTGTTTTGTAGGCAGGACAATAAATACAACAAATACAAATAAGTGGCAGTAAACAAATATATGAGAGTCCCGAGTAAGAGATGTAGGTGACTTTTTTTCTTCAGTAGAACAGTAAAGAAGATATTTAGCTGAAACCATTGCTCTTGATAAAATGAAAGTCGGTGGCTACCGTCACTTTGAGAGTCAAAGAAGCAACACAAAATTAATATCTTATGATATATTGAGGTCTTATGAAGTGAAATTATCAGTCTGTGCTAGAAACTGATCATTATTTACAACATTATTACCTGTAATCCAGACCCTCAGACGTCCTGTTTGCGAACGAATCATTCTTTTGAACCGGTTCTTTTTGGTGAACTAGTTGAACCAATTCACCAAATCAGACTCAACGTCTGAAACGGTTCTCAGCTCGAGCAGCACAGATCTACAAGTTACTCAATCAAAACTCACTTTCAGATGCCTGACAGTCACTCTGACTCGAAATGAGCTGAAATACCGGCGTTTATGATCCTGTGATGAATGAATCATTCAGCCCTCCAGTTCCTCCAACAGTCACTGAACTGAGGAAACAGTTCGACTCGGACCGAAGACTGATGAGCCGCTCATATGCGCATGCGTTAACACTTGAATGAAGGGGCCAAATTAATGTTTTTATGGTTTCTCATCGTTTATGTAAAAAGATGAGCTGATGAAAACAAGTTTATTCACTTTTATATGCTTGTAAAACGTCCATGTTTCACATCATTATTGGGTGCTTTAATAATACAATAGCATATACGTTATGTCATTGCGTGATTACACAAACAAACTAGTGAATTGAACCAGTTCATTGAATCCAACTGTCCGAAAGATCGAAAGAATCGTATTTCCCCATTGCCTGAGGCTCTGGATTACAGGTAATAATGTTGTAAATAACGTTCAGTTTCTTGCACAGACCGATTGTTTCGCTTCATAAGACCTCAATATATCATCAGGAGCCACAGGTATTAATTTAGTGTAGTCTGAAATGCTTTTTTGACTCTCAAAGTGCCGGTAACCACTGACATTTCATGAATCACAAAGGACCACAGTTTCAGCTAAAATTCTTCTTTTCTGTTCTACTGAAGGAAAAAGTCACCTACATATTGGACGGCCTGAAGGGGAGTAAATAACTAACAGCAAATTTTGATCTCTGGGTGAACTACCCCTTTAACTGCTGTTTTCTCACCGCTGTCATGTTTGTTGCACGTTTATATTGTTTATATTGCAGCATATGTTTAAATATTCATAAGTATGTTCGCTAACAGTAAACCACTGCAAAGGTATGTCAAACTTCTTGTTACCCCTAAACAAAGAACGAAAGAGAAGTATATTGAACCTTTATTCAGCTATCTGGATTATTCAACAGTACCCTTCCACATTAATGACATAAGGGCCTTTCGCACCGCTTTAGTTCCAGAACTAAATGTACAGTACTAAAGTACCGGGACGATTTTGCACGAACTATTTCCAGTACCATTTAAAGGGTTGCATTCGCACCGAGAGTGTGTACTAAGAAGTGACGTAAGCTGGTCGACAGCGACATCATTTGTGCGTGGCGTTCAACAATAGAAACAAAGAACAACATTAACAACAGGAGGATGGAGGACGCTGTGATCGGAGCTGTGTGCTTGTTGTGTCTCGCGGGTTTCACAATAATGGACATGGAAAGTCGACGTATACGTAAAGCGACTGAAAGAACGGAAAGGAGGACTAAGAATCTCCAACGACAACTGGCAGTGCTACATTTGCTACAAGTGCCTGCACTTCAGCGTCCGTCCATCTATCGCTGTTCTCCATACTTGCGAAATAAGTTGACACAATGTTTACAGTATGTTTACACGGCATTTTAAATCATGGCGTCTCAGCTCGAGCAGCACAGATCTACAAGTTACTCAATCAAAACTCACTTTCAGATGCCTGACAGTCACTCTGACTCGAAATGAGCTGAAATACCGGCGTTTATGATCCTGTGATGAATGAATCATTCAGCCCTCCAGTTCCTCCAACAGTCACTGAACTGAGGAAACAGTTCGACTCGGACCGAAGACTGATGAGCCGCTCATATGCGCATGCGTTAACACTTGAATGAAGGGGCCAAATTAATGTTTTTATGGTTTCTCATCGTTTATGTAAAAAGATGAGCTGATGAAAACAAGTTTATTCACTTTTATATGCTTGTAAAACGTCCATGTTTCACATCATTATTGGGTGCTTTAATAATACAATAGCATATACGTTATGTCATTGCGTGATTACACAAACAAACTAGTGAATTGAACCAGTTCATTGAATCCAACTGTCCGAAAGATCGAAAGAATCGTATTTCCCCATTGCCTGAGGCTCTGGATTACAGGTAATAATGTTGTAAATAACGTTCAGTTTCTTGCACAGACCGATTGTTTCGCTTCATAAGACCTCAATATATCATCAGGAGCCACAGGTATTAATTTAGTGTAGTCTGAAATGCTTTTTTGACTCTCAAAGTGCCGGTAACCACTGACATTTCATGAATCACAAAGGACCACAGTTTCAGCTAAAATTCTTCTTTTCTGTTCTACTGAAGGAAAAAGTCACCTACATATTGGACGGCCTGAAGGGGAGTAAATAACTAACAGCAAATTTTGATCTCTGGGTGAACTACCCCTTTAACTGCTGTTTTCTCACCGCTGTCATGTTTGTTGCACGTTTATATTGTTTATATTGCAGCATATGTTTAAATATTCATAAGTATGTTCGCTAACAGTAAACCACTGCAAAGGTATGTCAAACTTCTTGTTACCCCTAAACAAAGAACGAAAGAGAAGTATATTGAACCTTTATTCAGCTATCTGGATTATTCAACAGTACCCTTCCACATTAATGACATAAGGGCCTTTCGCACCGCTTTAGTTCCAGAACTAAATGTACAGTACTAAAGTACCGGGACGATTTTGCACGAACTATTTCCAGTACCATTTAAAGGGTTGCATTCGCACCGAGAGTGTGTACTAAGAAGTGACGTAAGCTGGTCGACAGCGACATCATTTGTGCGTGGCGTTCAACAATAGAAACAAAGAACAACATTAACAACAGGAGGATGGAGGACGCTGTGATCGGAGCTGTGTGCTTGTTGTGTCTCGCGGGTTTCACAATAATGGACATGGAAAGTCGACGTATACGTAAAGCGACTGAAAGAACGGAAAGGAGGACTAAGAATCTCCAACGACAACTGGCAGTGCTACATTTGCTACAAGTGCCTGCACTTCAGCGTCCGTCCATCTATCGCTGTTCTCCATACTTGCGAAATAAGTTGACACAATGTTTACAGTATGTTTACACGGCATTTTAAATCATGGCGGGGGAGGACGTTTTCATATGTGTTTGGCCAATCAATGTCTACTTGCGTCACGATTAGTACCAGTTGTGCTGGTTAGACCCTGCTCCGGAGTAGGAGCTAATTTGGTTCTCGAAAAAGGCAGTCCGGTACTAAAATCGCACCCAGTTCCGGCGGTGCGAAAACGCCAAAAAGTGGGTAGTTCCACAATTAGTTCTGGTACTATGAAAAGGTTCCCGCGGTGCGAAAGGGCCTTTATTGAATGTGTTGACCTCTGACCTTGCACTGGTTGACTTCTTCCTGTAGTTTGTCAGCATGGCTGAAGCCGCTGGCGTCTCGAGACAGCAGCTCGTCAGCAGCATCCAGCCAGCGCTCCACCTCCTCACTCTTCACCTGATCCACATCAACAGCATCGTCAAAACACACCACATACATGCAAAGAAATTCCTCTGAATCAGTCTGATGGCACAGCTCTCACCTTTGTGTCCTTCATGCTACCCAGAATGCACTGCAGCATGCTAAGCTGATCCTGGGCGGCTGTGGAGAGCTCAGTCCAGCCCTGCTGCTCTGCTGCCTCCGACGCCTCCTGCTCTATCTCAGCACAAAGAGCCTGGAAAACAGGTCAAATTGCATTACCCAGAAGAGATTCATCAGATCATACTTTAGATCATTAAAATGTATAACCCTTATAAAAATGAAGCAGCCACTGTAGTAACTAAGAATGAATCCCGTGCCAAACCAGTACAATCTTGCTGTAGAATTATAATTTCACTTTTTCATCAACTGACTTGGGTAAGCAGGTATCTGATTTAAAGTAACAACAGTTTTATAAACTAGATAAACTAGGTGAAAGGTGTCATTAATATAGTACATACTATCACGTAATACTAGAAAAATGATAATTTGCATAATACTTGACCACATTTGGGACACAGAAATAAAAATTTTCAGTTAAATTTTTTGTTAACTGAAATAAAGCTGAATTTGAAAATATGAATATTACATGAAAAACCACTTAAAAATAAGAGTTGTTGTCAAAATAACTGACAAATAACTGAAATAAATTTAAGTTGAAGTAATAAAATAACTAAAACTGAAATAAAAATAAAGATAAACAGAATTTTTTTTTAAAAAGCTCTACTAAAAATGACAAAAGCACAACAAAATGAAAATTTAAAACTAAAAGCAAAAATTTATATTTTAATATTAACATATGAATAAATACTATAATAACATATAATACTAAAATAACACGGTACAAAAGTAATATATTGCTGACTATATGCTTCTGGAATAAAATAAAATAAAAAAAAGAACCTCTTCAAGTTCTTCTGAACCTGTTTTAC